GCTTCCAAAATCATTGAAAGAGTGACACATGTGAGTGTATGGCAATACTATATACTCTAAAATATCATGTTAGATGATGCCAAATCATGCACATGGCCCAAGCAATGCATGCTAGTGGACTCCAAACACAAAGCTAATGAACAAGAATGCACTATGGCTATACAAAGCGAGGCATGCATGACCAAAATAACATAAAACAGAGCTTAGGCCTGCAAAAACATGAGTAAAAGCTTGCTGGAGTTCCATGGCCATATCAAGCAAGCCCCAAAGGGTTAAGGTGACTCAAAATAGTCCCAAGGTAGGACAAAACAATGCCAAAAACATGCTTGAACATAGCCAACACAAGCTTAGAATTAAAGGCATGAAGCATGGAGCATACAAGGCCAATGAGAAAGGTTACACTACACCTACCACAACCAAGCATGAGATGACTTCACCAACAAAAATCAGAGTTGTGTCATGGCAAAACAAGACCAAAAACACACTGATATGGCAGCCCAAAAGCCTAGGCAAGATGGCATACATATTGGCTCATGTTTAAGGCATAAAGCACAAGCTTCCAAAATCATTGAAAGAGTGACACATGTGACTGTATGGCAATACTATATGCTCTAAAATATCATGTTAGATGATGCCAAATCATGCACATGGCCCAAGAAATGCATCCTAGTGGACTCCAAACACAAAACTAATGAACAAGAATGCACTATGGCTATACAAAGCGAGGCATGCATGACCAAAATAACATAAAATAGAGCTTAGGCATGCAAAAATATGAGTAAAAGCTTGCTGGAGTTGAGCCAAAATCATGCTAGAATGATGGTCAAAAGCATGATGCATGTTAGGCTAGATTGCAAGATTACACTACAATTGTAGAATGCATGCAACAAGTGATCAAACCAACCCAAAACAAAGTTAAGGCACGCTGAAATAAGGCCTAAGACATGCTAAGATGGAGCCAAAAACAAGCTCAACAAACATGCTACTTTGATGAGCCAACAAGGCAAGCATACAAGACATAAGGAGAGGGGATGACCCCTTCCTATTTGGGACCTCAAAACACACTTTCCACCACTGAAATTCCCCTGAGTTTCAGTGGTGAGAAGGCCAAAAAGAGGTGGTCCCAAAAGCTTAACCGGATAGCACAAAACAAAGCCACACAAGGCATAAAAGGGGGTAGACCACCCCCAACACCAAAGAGACCTTAAACAAGCACTTTAAGCACTTAAAATTAGAACTTTTTTCAGTTGAAAGGAAGGCCTAAAACAGTATGCAAAGGGGGGCCAAACACTTAAGCAAAACAAGGCCTAAAAGGGGTAACAACTCACTCTTGAAAAACTACAGCAAACCAGCACTTCTGAGCCAAAGAAAACAAACTTTGAGGGTCCAAACAAGGTCCTCTAGTACCTCAGCAACAAAGCAAAGGTGCTTTACTAGGTGTTGTAGTGCAAAAGTGAAGACAAAACACACTTTTAAGCAATATATATATATAGAGAGAGATATATGTTTTGTATATCCAATTTTCAGAACCTCTAGAAAGGGAGTGGGGCCTCCCTTCTTATAGAAATTCAAGTCCTAAGCTTGTTGGACAAGCTAAAGGCTTGAATTCAATCCCTCCATACACGTGTATGGAGGATGAAATTTATGCTCACCAGCTGTCACAGCTGGCACAAAAATATCTGCAAAAGTAAATAAAAAGGCCTCGGCCAAAAAGGGTGCCGATCGGCCAAAAAAGGTGCCGACTGGCCACCACTGATGGCCGATGGAGAGAAGACATGGCCGATGGGCACAAGGCCTGGCCGATGAGTTGGAGGGCTAGCCAAAAGGCCATCCTCTTCCCTCAGAAACAAAACCACAAGCTCTTGGTCCACAACCAAGTGCAAAACAGACAAGTTGAGAGGCTCCAAGGCAAGGTGCGCAGCCGAGACCTTCAGGAACTCAAAACGAACACGAGCGTGGATGATCATCGAGTGTTCAAACGATGACGTCCAAGTCTTGAGGACGGTAAAAAATAGGATGTCTACTGTTGCCCCTCTTTGACAGAACTTGAAAGTCATAAGATGACGAGAGTGAATGTCAAAGCCCAGAGACGACCCATTTTTGACAAGGCCGAAGACTTAGACAAACATACAAGATAACAATAAGATGTACCCGCAGGCAGGGACAAGATGCAAATGACATGCACAATACGGAACATAACTTATAATCATGCAAAGAGAGCTGTAATGAAGCATTCATGCAAAATAAATGTAACATTTTAAGCGAATGCTATGCGAGCAAGTAAACACGAACCAAACTACATCTCATGCAGAAAGGATGTAAGAAAATTACAATTCTCACTGCGTCTCACACGGAGAAGGCTAAAAGTGACCACCAAGAACACCTGGAGTCTCAAACGAAACACCTCCCAGCATATCAAACGCAAAAGGAGAAGGACTGTGCAAGAAAGCACAGTCATCCAAACGCGTGTCAAACGCGAGAAGGGAAAAGTACGTCCAAACGCATGCCAAACGTGAGTGGAGAAGGGTCGTGCCAGAAAGCGTGATGCACTAGACAGTGCGAGTACGTCCAAATGCAGCACACGCGAGTGGAGAAAGGTTGCGCGCCACACGCGAGTGGACAAGGGTAACAGAACGCGTGCCAAACGCGAACATGTGTGATAGATAACAGTCAAACTGAACTGGAACTTCTCTTGAATGAACCGTACATACAATATCGTCTGGCTTCACCAACTTCAAATGAACCGTACATACAATATCGTGCCTGCACAAAAGAGAGATTTTGACAAGTACAATATAATAGGAACACATGATTAACGCTATATCAGGATACAACTTCAATACAAGATAAGAACGTGCACATATGATGCCAATGGAAAGGTGCATAACAATGCATAGGAGATGTGCGTAACAATGCAACTAGAACAAGCATAACAATGCGAGTGAAAATGTGCATAACAATGCAAGTGAAATGGTGCATAACAATGCAAGGGAACAGTGCATAACAATACAACTGGGGCATGCATAACAATGCAACTGGAGTGCGCATGACAAAGCAAGTAAGGAGGTGCATAACAATGCAACAAGTGTGTGCGTGACAACGCAAGTAAAGAGGTGCATGACAATGCAACTAGAGTGTGCGTGACAACGCCAGTAAAGTGTGCATGACAATGCAACAAGTGTGCGTGACAACGCAAGTAAAGAGGTGTGCATGACAATGCAACGAGTGTGTGTAACAAGTGGAACGTGCATGACTATGCAACGAGTGTGCGTGAGAACGCAAGTAAAGAGGTGCATGACAATGCAACAAGTGTGCGTGACAACGCAAGTAAAAAGGTGCATGATAATACAACAAGTGTTCGTGACAATGCAAGTGGAACATACATGACAATGCAACGAGTGTGCGTGATAACGCAAGTAAAGAGGTGCATGACAATGCAACAAGTGTGCATGACAACGCAAGTAAAGTGTGAAATGTATGCTCCATGCAACATTATGATGCGTATTCTATACAAGAGGGAGAAGTGTATATTCTATGCAAATCATGGCGAACGCATGCTCCATGCAATAACATGGAGATGCACATATTCAATGTAAGCATGGTAAAGGTATGTTCTCCACAATGTTGAGATACAACCTCAAAACAAGATAAGGCATGCTCAATGTAGGAGTAAAAAGGCGTATAACAAATGCGCACCTTGCAAACATAACAAAAACATTGTAACGCAACATGTTCAAAAGTAATTTTCGAATCTCGTAATATACAAAAGGATACAAAAAAAGGATACACCTTGTGCTAATCGAGTGCCACGCACAGAAGACACGGTTCGAGGTCAGCAAGGAGGTCGCTTAAGCTTCAAAAGTGTATTTTCTTGCATTTTCTTGAGAGATGAAGGTACAAATCAACAAAACTACCACAAACAAGGGCATTGTAAGTCCATCGGCCACAAGGGGGGGCCATCGGCCATCAAAAAGCTTATCGGCCAACAATTTGGCCGATCGGCCAAAAGTGGTAGATTCAGGGCAATTTTATCCATTTGCCTTGGGTCTTTAAGTATAGGGTTCCAAACCCTATACTTTCACTTATCCCTTGCCGAAATTCTTCTTTCTCTCTCTCTAGAACATTTTCCTCCCTTCGATCCGAGCTTTTCCCCCATTTTTGATCATCCCACAACTTTCGATTAGCAAAACCCTCGTTGTTCTCAACGTTTTGAATCGATTGAAACGTGATTTCAGTGCCTCATTCTTGATTTCCACCACTTGGGGTTTGTTTCCCCCGAGTTACCCTTGGTTTCTGTGCCTTTTTCCGCACTTCGGCCTTTTCTTCTATTTTTCACTCCTCGGGGTTGACTTTCGATTGACTTTTGGCATTCTTGCCCATTTTCCATACCTCCGACCATTTTTTTTCTCTTCTCAACATGACGGATGACATTCCAGAGGGTGGGGCTCCTCCAAGGATGGAGATGGATCCCGAGTTTGAGCTCTTGCCACTCAGTGTTCGACATTTCGACCCGGCGACGTACCAGCCCGAGGTGCATGTGTTGCCTCTTGACAGCATTCGCTAGTTCAGGAGCTTCACACAAGGTGCTCCGAAAGACCTCCTGCTACGCGAGCGAGAGTCACACTTGTCCTACAGCGCTGCTGAGGTATACTCTTTTCCTTTACTTTCTGCAATGTAGGTCATATATCTTGGATAGCCAATATCACTGTTCATCAGATTAACCCGAACACACTTGTATATCACATGCCTAGTTCACCCTGAGCACATTCATACATGATATTTGTGTCGACCTGAACATATGTACACACTGCACTTCTATCAACTTTGAACACCTGCAAACACTGTATTTATGACACTGCTTCGCATCTGTTTGTCTTTGAACACAGGGAGATTCCAATGCCTTCCGAGGGTATGGGAACACCATCGCACGGGGTTGGTACACGGAGCTACCCGATGATGTTCGCCACATCGTCGATGTGGCCAGTTTTGGCATATTCTGCATGGGACTCTCGCGCCTCACTGCGAGTCGGCCTCTTCTGGGCGTGCTAGTGGAGAGGTGGTGGGACACCATCGATTCCTTCCACCTCTCGACAGCAGGGGAGATGACGATGACTCCCTTCGACTTCTCCATGCTCACTAGCATCGGAGTAGGGGATGATTCGATCCCTTTCGACACCGACATGGGCGAGTGGGATGCTGCCCAGATCTTCATGCTCGGCACTCGCCCACCTCTCTCCCGGCCAGGGTTCGTGAGATATTCGTGGTTCGAGGACCAGTTCAGGGGACAAACGCCGATGACTCGGGAGGAGGTCGAGCATTACACCCAAGGGTTCCTTATGTTCATGTTGGGCACTACTCTCTTCGCCGACCAGGCGAACACCGTTGGCCTCTACCTATTGAACGCACTGGTGGACGTGACTCGCATCCGGCGCTATGACTGGGGCGGGGCAGACCTTGCCACATTGTACGGATATATGAGTTCCTCATCTTGCCGGAGTGGACACCTGCTAGGAGGCTACTGGCGAGCCTGGGAGGTACACCTATCCTTTCTGCTTTATAGTTTCACTTTACATTATCTATACACCACACACATTGCATACATGCAATTTGCTTTAAACTGGTTATACACTGCACACACTGCACACTATTCTCTGATTTCTGCTTTATCTGTATACTGCTTTACTATAAACATACTCATTATTGCCCTTTCACATTCTATAGTTGTGGGTATATGCTTACTTCCCGAGGCTTGCTCCAGAGCTGGAGGTTGAGATGGCCCCCGTGGTTACGTCTTCTTATAGGTATGATGTGAGGTGCGAGCGAAGGCCGCGAGAGTCTTTCTTGTTCTTCTATAGATACTTTGACACTATAGCCGCAGCAGAGGGGTTTCAAACCTTACAGTTCATTTGAGTTTTTCTTTATATTGCACTTCCGATAGTAGATAACAAACTGTGTATCCTGTCATTTGCAGATCACCTGGCAGCCCTGGGTAGTGCTGCCTAACGTAGTTAGAGACCAATATATAAGCGCTCGGGAGACTGCCCGATTCCAAGTTTTGCTGGAGGGCCCAGTCTGTCGGGCATGGTACTTGGGAGAGCGCTTCTTGCGGCAGAGCCTCGGCTTGCTAGAGCAGATAGTCCCGATGTCACCTCTCTCGCACATAAGGCATACAGTGACATACACCCTGCAAGAGATGACCGATTTCATGATCGGTTGGGATGTCAACTTTTTCAGAGATGAAGGCGACTACACCATCCTCATTTAGGCACATCTCATGCGGCCTCTGGCCAGTACCCGGTGAGGTGAGAGAGAGAGACCTCCAGCCACAGCAAGAGGAGTAGAAGGATCGAGGGTGACTCGGGCCCATGACGGGAGGGGTTTCCGGAGGGGACAGAGAGCGGAGTGGCCAGACCTGCCCACTACCATGACATACCGAGGAGAGGCTGGTGAGACTTATCAGATACCCATCGCTCCTCCCCTGGCTGATCATGAGCTCATCGAAGTTCGAGGCTCGACCACGATATGTGCTATACTTTGCATTTTGTACATTCATTTCATTTTAGTTGATATCCCGCAAAATACTAATGACCTCAACACTTTTGCAGGCTTCCATCAAGTACACTGGGCAGGCTCTAGAGCTGACGGCTTTGGTGATGGGGATGCTGCAGAGGAGTATGCACTTGCTGAGTATCTACGATAATCCGGTAAGTACTTTTAATTTCCGTCTCAAAACGCTCTGTATAATCTGCTGCATATAGACCTGATGCATCACATTATCAACACTGCATTTGGTATACCACACTCATATACCACTCACGGCACTGATACACTGCATCTCATACACTACAATCATTCACCGCTCACGGCGTTCATACACTGCTTATAGCATTCACACACTGTAATCATATACTACATTAGATACCATACTCAGACTCGCGTAGCATAACTGATGCATTTGCCAATTTGTTTTTTTCAAAACCCATTCCAGATACCGGCCACAGCGAGTGCCTCAACGGGACCTTCAGTGCCTATTTCCCGAGGAGCAGGGAAAGCGGGACGAGGGACTCCAGCGCAAAGCCGGAGCAGAGCTGGACGTACTCAGATCGGGAGTAGTTCACGGGCGCCTGTCCCAGATGACGATGAGTCTGACGAGGAGGCATTGAGTCCGCAGTCAGAGTCGTCTTAAGATGGAGATGAGGCTGGAGACGGCTCGGGTTCAGACTCTGACGGTGGTTCCGGGCCTTTGTCGAAGAAGAGGACGAGGAGAGATTCCCACATTTGAGGCGACTGGCGCCGATTCAGATGTTTTGTTTTTTGCTTTATTTTTCTTTTTGCTAGTAGTTTTGCACATTGTACTGCCTCAGGCAGGTTTTATGTTCTTTAAAACTTTGTACTCTTTTGCAAAAGAAAACATGATGGAATGAAAACAGCTTTTTTATTGGAAAAGTGTTACATTTGTACATTCTAAGCATCGCATCGCATCGCATTACATTACACAGCATGTAAATGAGATTGAACTTTGTTTGAAAATAACACACTCGAATTGCATTGCCTTAATCAGGTAGTGAACCAATTGACAACAAACAAAACAACTCGATAAGCAAAACTAGGACTTGACATGCTAACCAAATGTGAATACAACTTGATAAGCAAGACAAGAACTTAACAATCAATGCAAAATACAACTCGATAAACAAAAATGCAACAGCTCAATAAACAAATTGAAGTAACACAGACACGACTTCACAAAATCGTCGCAAAAAGGCATTCGAAGTGGAACAAGTCACAAGTTCTCAACGCCTCCAACACATGGACAGCTTCAGAGGACAAAGAAGAGGCCATTGGCCAAGGTGGGAGGTCATCGGCCACAAGAAATGACCATCGGTCACCAATACTAGCCAATCGCTAAAAAGATGGTCAGTCGGCCATCATTACTGGCCGATCGGCCAAAAATGGCAAGAACCTCCAGAATGCTGCCACCTGTCTTCCACTCAACACCTTATCTTCTACAAAAGCCCCACTTCATAGTTTCTCCATTTCAACTCAGTTTTTGCACCAAATTGAGGCATTTCTTGTCCAAAATCTCACAAATTGGATTGCTAACATGGATGGCTCAGAAAAGTTGAATTTCCGGGGCTTCAGCATAAATGCACTATTCACGCTAAGCCGCACCCTGCTGCGTTTTCCGTTCGTTCATGCCGCGGCAAGGTATTGGAATCCAGTAACTTACGTCTTTAGCTTTGGCGGACAAGAGATGTGTTCCACTTTCGAAGACTTCCAAGCCTTGATGGAGTCCGAACGCGAGGAAGAGATTTTGCCCCAATTCCGCTTCGGCCACATCCAGGCCTTAGGACGGATGTGTGGGCTCACTTTACATGACACTCGGTCTTTGATCCGTGACAGGGAGTTGGACATTCCCAACTTGATTCATCGATTTTCTGATACTGATGACCACGGCGATCATCACTGGCAGGGTTTTCGGCGACATGTGATTTGCTTGTGCATGTTGTCTCATTTCTTGCTTGCCCCAAGCTCTAGAGGGTCTAGCATCCGTTTGATTGAAGTTGCCCAAGGCTTGAAAGAGGGCAAGAGCTGCATTGCCATGACACTAGCTGAGACATTGATGGGTTTGTATGTTTTCTATCGCCGAGAGACGACTAGATTTGCGGGGAGTCCACTACTGCTGCAAGTAATCTTTCCCACCCTATCTCACATCACTCGGCACTCAGGCTCGGTTTTTCTCTCAAAACCCTCTTCTTACTTTTCTCTCTACGTACACCTCTCTATTCTTTAATCTCTCATTTTTCATCCTTTCCCAGATATGGTTGATGGATAAGTTGAAGGTTGTGGACTCATGCCCAGCATATTTAGCTTGCAGCTATTTCTTCCGACGACGTCTAGTCGATGCCCCTGATGAGGGATGGTGGTGTGAATGGATGTGTAGTTTGTCTGCTGCTAGTATTGCTTGGCGCTGCCCCTGGCTTAATCTGCCGACGACGAGTTACAACATGTCTCGCCAGCTTGGGATTCAGTTGATCAGCCTGACACACTGTGTTTTTTACTCCCCATTCCGATTCCGGCGCCAATTTGGACGTTATCAGACTTAATAGGGGATAGAGTACCCTACTGCATTTTCGGTCCGAGGTGCACAGCTAGCTCGGTATGCCACAGCATGGAGGACGAGAGAGCTTCTGGCCCCCACTCCCACTTTTAGTTTCACCCTCTCTGATGAGTGCATAACTTGGCTTGATGAAGAGGCGTAGGTTGGGCCTACTTTGGCATCAGAGGCTTCCAGAAGCTCTGGGAAGGGGCGCGGGAACACCTGACTATGCCCTAAGTTTATTTGTTTTAATCAGTACTTTCAAGTTTTCTTTATGAATGTAATAAAAAGCAACTTCAATTTGTATTCAAGAGTAGGAGAACTTTGTACTGAAATCAATGTAATTGAAGGTTGTGGGTACTAAAAATTTTTCATTTGGTCCAAAAATGGTCTAAGTCGTAAAAAGATTAATTTGAGCAAAATCAACTTTTATTAAAACTTTTCAAAACCATTTTCGATATGGATCACAACTGGACATGCCTGAGATCTATCACTGAGATATACAACCCCAGATCCCAGCAACTGGAAAGTTGCCCCTAGTCTAAATAGCACTGCACTGGAGATCACAACCGAGCTCTTAAATGCAAAATAGACAAAGATGACCAACAAGATCACACAGACAAAGTTGATTTGGAAGTGTTTATGGCTGGACTTCGGAATGAAGTTGCCTACGTATCCCGAAGATGGGAATCAAGCCTTACGTAGTTCGGATCGGGTTCACTCGTGTATTAACACTCTCCTTTTGCGCTCTAACTTTTGCCAAAGCCGCCCTTTCTGGGCTTTCAACCTTGCAAGCTCAGTTCTTATTATTTCAAATTTTTCATGCTCTAACTTTTTCCTAGGTCGCCCTTTCGGGTTTTCGGCCTAGCGAGCCACTCAGTGAAAGTATTTCTTCAACTTGTCTATGTTGATCAGCTGGGAGAACTCTAGGCCATCTAGGTCCATCAGAACGACAGCTCCGCCCGACCAGATAGACTTGATGATGTAAGGGCCAGTCCAATTAGGTCTGAACTTGCCCCTAGGGTCGTGGATGGGAGTTCGGTTGTCTTTGAGCACTAGATCCCCCTTTTTCAAATTCCTGGACTTAACCTTCTTGTTGAAAGCCCTGGAAATTCTTCGTTGATAACCCTGGACATGATACAGTGCTTTCAGCTTTCTTTCATCAAAGGGCATGAGTTCTTCAAACCTGCTTTGCTGCCAATCTGCCTTACCTATCTGACACTCAGCCAATACCCGTAATGACGGAACCTCAACTTCGATAGGCAGAACAGCGTCCATCCCATATACAAAAGAATACGGAGTTGCCCCAGTAGAAGTTCGAATTGAAGTCTGGTAGCCCCAAAGAGCAAATGGCAGCTTATCTGGCCAGTCCTTATAGGTTTCCACCATCTTCTGTAAAATATGCTTGATGTTCTTGTTGGAGACCTCAACTGCTCCGTTAGTTTGCGATCGATATGTAGATGACTTATGAAAAGCCACGTTGTGTTTCTCCAAAAAGTCGATCACCTCCTTCTTGAAATGGGAATCATTATCCGAAATAATCTCATTCAGGACCCCGTAGCGACAGATGATGTTGTTCTTGATGAACTTAGCAACATGCGATGCTTTCAACACCGCTTAAGATTGGGCCTCAACACACTTCGTGAAGTAGTCTATCACTACCAGAATGTATTCATGCCCGTTGGACCCCTTTGGAGTGACAGCCCCAATCACATCAATCCCCCAAACTGAAAATGGCCATGGCGAAGTCATGTTGTACAGCTTCGACGGAGGAATGTTTATGCGGTTTGCATGGATCTGACATTTGTGTCATCGCCGGACAAAGCCGATACAATCCTCCTCCATGGTTGACCAGTAATAACCCTGTCTAAGGATCTTTCGGGCTAGCATCACCCCGTTCATGTGCGCTCCGCACTCTCCTCCATGGATGGCCTCCATCAGGCGCTTGGACTCTTCAGCATCAACACACAGCTTATGCATCCCGAGATGACCCCTCTTGTACAGTTTACCCCCGCAGACGATGAACTGAGCAGCCATTCTTCGAATTACCCTGTTGTCTTTGGCATTTGCCCCTGGTAGATACGCCTCTTTTGCTAATAAGTTCCAGACATCGTAATACCATGGGGTTTTCATCTTGTACCTCATCTATAGCAGCAATCAACTCGTAGGCTGGCACAAATTTCTATTCAGTGATGATCGGAAGCATCCGGACTCTAAAAGGGATGTCTATCATAGAAGATAGAGTTGCTAATGAATCAGTGAACCTATTGTTTTCTCTTAACAGATGGGCGAAATTCAGTTTCTCAAACCGAGGAATCAGAACATCCAAGGTCTGGTGATAGATTCTCATCTTTTCTTCTTTAACTTTCCAATCTCCGTTAGCTTGAGATACAACAAGGTTCGAGTTCCCGATGACATCCAACCGTTTTGCCCCTAGTTCCAAGGCGGCTTCTAGTCCAGTAATACATGCCTCATACTTTGCCTCATTCTTCGATACTTTAAACCGGAGTTTGAATGCTAAAGGTATACGGGAATTGTCGGGTGCTATCAGCAACACCCCTATCCCATACCCATACTGGTTTGACACTCCATCAAAGTACATCGTCCAAGTCTCTTCTTTGACATACAGAATGGCCTCGTCTAGGAACAGATACTCAACTGCTTCATCCCCTTCAATTGGGTGATCGGCTAGGAACTCCGCTATCGCTCTCCTTTTCACTGATTTGCGCATCATATACTTCAGATCGAATTTGGAAAGAAGAAGCAACTAATGGGCTAGCCTACCCGTAAATGCCAGTTTCTAGAAAAGATATTTCATGGGATCTAATCTGGAAACCAGTATTACAGAGTGAGCTAACAGGAAGTGCATCAGCTTCTTGGTAGCCCATACCAAGGCCAGACAAGCCTTCTCCAGCAAAAGTGTAGCGGGTCTCGTAATCCAGCATTTTCTTGCTCAGGTAGTAGATAGCCTTCTCCACTTTGTCCTTAGACTCCTGTGCAAGCATGCAGCCCATTGTCGTTTCAGTCACTAAAAGGTACAGAATCAACGGTTTCTCCGGCTCAGGCAGTGACAACACAGGTGGGTTCTGTAAATATTGCTTGATCTGCTCGAAAGCAATTTGGCATCGGTCGTCCCATTGAAACTTCTTTCCTTTCTTCAGGAGACCAAAGCGTGGTTCACAAGTCAAGGTTAATTTTGTAATAAACCGTCTTATGAATTGCACTTTACCCAGAAAGCCTTGTGCCTCCTTTTTCAGTCCTTGGTGGTGGCATTTCTAAGATGG